TCATCGCTCGATGGTCTTCAGGTACTATCCTACATCATGTACAGCACCAAAGATCAGCGTTGCCAGATATACCGGATATATCGGTATATACATATAAGGTTCCTCAGAATACCGAGATATTTTTTGTGCGAGACTTGTATCTCTTTGAATACCTCATATTTTTTTCGCCTTCAAAATTCTAAACAATCATCTCTAAGGTGCCTTGTGCTTGACAATCTTTCGGCTAATGTTTGCTTTTCCTCACCGTTTTTGGACACCCATCAATCGAGAAATAGTCGATGGCTCTTTCCGGTAATTTCTAGGGAAACGAGAAACATTTTTTAAATATCTAACTTTCCCTGGAATTTTCTTCCACCTTACCTGGGAAGCTTCTTCAGCTCGAATGATTCATTCATCTTCTCCCGCCAGTTTTTTCAACTTTCCCGGAACTTCAAGGATGCTATCAGATTTTTATTGCAAATCCACACTAGTTGCAGGCACATTCAAGAAGTTCTGAAACTTCAGAAAAGTCCAGACTTTTGTGTAAGTTTCGATAAATTAAAGACAGTTTCATTTACTTCTGTTAAAATTCAAAAACCCAAGAATTTCGGAAAAGTCCAGCGAACTCCAGTGAACTTGAGGAAAATTCATACATATTTTTGAATTTTCACAAGTCCAAAGAGCTTCAGAGAAATTTAATGGTTTTCATGACCTTTAGTGAAGCTCAGACATCATCAGGACAGATCAATTAATTAATGAAATTGCTGAAATTATAAAGAAGTTTCGAGAAACTCAGGCAATTTCCGAAATCTTCAGCAATGTCCTGAGGGGCTCATGCAATTTAGCAGAAACGTAAGGGAAGTTACATGAACATTAGAACATTGTGAGAACATTTTATGGGAAGTTCTATGCTCTTTAATGGCAGTGTCGATAACTTTTAAAAATTAAAAAAAAAAAAATCGAGAAGATCAGATTCTGATGTTACAATAAATTCAAGAAAATTGTGAGAACACTTAAGAGATTTCGTAATCTTTAAGATAGTCCAGAGACCTTCAAAGATGATTAGAGATATTCCGGTAGTATTTTTATAATAAGGGAAGTTCCGAGCACTTCGAGGATGACCAGAGAACTCCTAAACAGCCCCTAATTTCAGAAACATTACAAGAACTTTTAAGGAATTTCGAGGAATTATGGAATATTTCTAAGTGCATTTCAGGAATGTTCCGAAAACTTCAGGAAAATTGCGGAGTGTTCAGAGATGTTTTATGAATATCAGGAAAATTTTCTGGATCATAAGAACATCCACCAGGAATATCTTTCTTCCGGAATTATGTCCTTGTTTCTTTCGACTGTTCCGTAAGCGCTCTGGCTTCCGACTTTTTTCAGATGTTTCTTCCAATCTGCCTTAGGAAGTTTCTGCCAGCGTCTCCAGGAAGTTTCTTTCGTCTTTTCCAGGAAGTTCAATTAATTCTCCCAGAAATTTATTTCGTCTTATTCTGGAAGTTTGACCATAAGCCAGGTTTTTTTGGTCGACTTCTATTGGAAGGTTTTTCCGAGCTTCTTCTAGCTCTCCCTGGAAATGGCTACTTCTGAAAATTTACTTCCAGTTTCCGAAACATTTCTGGCTTCCTTTAGATGTGACATCCGATTTTTTCCGATAGTTTATTTAAATTTTCACCACATGATTCTCAATTCGTGTCTTGGAAGATTCCCGGATGTTCTTCAGACTTTACTTAGAACTTTCCTCGAACTTCATCCAAGAGAGCTTATTTCGTCTTTCGCTGGATGTTTTTTCGGCTTCGTTCAGAAGCTAATTCCAACATTCCCCTGAGCTTTCTTCCGGAATTTTCCGATCATTGTACAAAAGCTAAAATTTTGCTTTGATTAACGGCTTTCTCGGTCTTAAAACACTGCAACGACTACGATATAATCTGCTAATAGTCGTTGTTGTGGCTGATTTTCCATATTTTGTTTTTTTAATGATATATAATTGAAAAAAAAACTACTTTCTCACAATTTTGATCAGCACTTGAGGAAAACGATAGTTTTAAAAATTTATTTAAAAAATAAGACTGTCGAATGTCGTTAAGTTAAACAAAGCAATTCCCCTCAAATCCCAGTCATCACCATTGTTAAAATTTTCGCTTTAAAAACGGTAAAAATATAGAATTAATTAAATAGTAAATACCGATAAATACAGATTTTTTATTACCTTTGATACCGTAAAGCTTTAAAACAATCTGGCAACGTTGCCAGAGATGTAAATTTGGAGATCATCGGCATAAAGCTGATAACAGCATTTAAGCAAAGACAGCATATCATATATGGCAACTCTTCCATTTTCTCATGCGACCACTATGAGACCGACACAATCGCGTCATCTGCCGTTCAAAGGTTATTGCTTCGAACGATTTTATAGCAAAGATTACAACCTCAGAAGAATGGTTTGTGTATTTGCTTATTTTTCTATGCAGTACTTCCACCTTTGCTCGAGTGCAGCGCTACTGTATATGTTGCTTGGATTCTGGCAGAGTTGCCAGTCTTCTTGATTTGAAGTCTTTGATTTTAGTCTAGCGTGCCTGAAGCTCGTGGAACTTTCCTTGACATATCTAATCTTTCCTGATCCTATCCTAAAACTTGTCTGCAGTTTTCGTTCCTGCATCGAATTCCCTAATGTTTCAAGAAATTCTTGGATCTTCTCTAACGTTCCCTTGATTATCCAGATATTCATGAAAATTCCCTGAAGATCCCGCAATTGTTCTGCAATTTATGAGGCATTCTTGAATGTCTCGGAATTTCCGATTATTTCTCGGAACTTCTTAAAAGTTCGTGTAATTAATCTATGGAACCGCTTTAATGTTCTCTAATCTCCCTCTGAGTACTCTGAATACGGTAGAAAACTACTTTGGCCTAAGCGCCCATTTATCAATCTTTATCTTCATGCGATAGGCCGAAGTGAATTCATTGGCGTTTCAATGCGTTAGGCCGAGTTTAGAATCCGTAGGCCGAGTTTGGCTTCAAGAAGCAGTGTTAGACTTTTAACAATATCTCAACAATTTGTTTCTCTTTATCAAATCTTACGGTATGTACGGAAAGGTAAATAAATTTGAAAGCCATCAGTAATAATAACATTACGTTTGGTGCTAAGCTGCTCTAGATTAAGACTAAGTGCGGGTTGTGCTTAATAGGCCGGGGTAGTTAACAATATTCCTGAAAATAATGATACCGCCTAAACATCTCTAAACTTCTCTGAAGAGCTCTGGATACCCCTGAAGATCTTGGAACTATGCTTGAGTTTTCGAAAATTCCCTGAGTATCCCGAACCTTGTTTAAAGTTTTTGCAATCGTCAAATTAGTCTTTTAACGTAAGAAAGTTCCAAATTTTTTTTTGAAAAATTAGGGAACTAAATGAATGACAACTTCACATAGGATAAGGAAAGTTTAGATATTTTAAAGAAACATCCATAAAGCATAAAGTCAACACCCGAAAAATGTGTACTTTTCAGTTTTATGGCGAGCTGATTGCTGACAAGATTTACCAGTCCCTTATTTTGATTAGAAGGAACTAAATAGTGTTTCCATTTCAAAGTTACACACAATTATAAGCTCTGCTGGGAAACCAGCTCTAAATTTAACTTGTACTGAATGATTTGATTGCTACTCATTAGGCATCTTATGTTTTTGACGAAATTAACATTTAACCTGGAACGTTTGAAAAAATATTAGGTTATTGCCAGTTAGAATCTTATTTTAAATCTTATTTTGCATAAGTTCAACTCCCTAACACTTAAGAAATCCTTCAAATCAGGTCTGCAATTACTCATCATATCTTAAATGTTGTAATTAGGAATTATGAAACTATGATATATTATAACGATATGTTTTATCTGTGAAATTCAGAAAAGGAGGTACAGTTTCAGTATGACACATCTTCTTCTTCGCATTTCAAGCTTATAGCATATCGCATATTAGCTTATTGCGTGCTCTCAACTTAGTGTTCTAGATGCACTTCCACAGTTATTAATTGAGAGCTTTCGATGCCTGTACCATTTTTGCATTGGTATAATTGTGTGGCAAGTCCAATCATACTTCTATGCCCAGGGAAGTCGAGAAATTTTCCAATCCGAAAAATTGCTAGACCGGACCGGGAATCGAACCCAGCCACCTCCAGCATGGTCTTGCTTTGTAGCTGCGCCTTTACCGACTGAGCTAAGGGAGGTATGACACATAAAACCAGTCAATTTCACTTCCAGCGTGTCACAATTAGCGATTAGCTATAACAGTGAGCACTCACTCATCGCGATCGCTCTTAAAGCTAAAATCGCTAATTGTGACCCTCTGAATGCAGAATTGACAGGTTGAATGTGTCATACACAAACTTTACCTTCTGTTCTTTCTTCTTACATAGGGGAAATGGATGTAATGTTGACCTGAATGCCCCTAACTTGGGCCCATACATAAATTCAGCAATCGACTAAATTTTCAAAAGCGACCAAAAATATCCATTAGTACCGTCCCAATGACGCGTTCATCTAGATAAAATTTATAAATATCAGATTTTTAGCGGTGGGCTCAGTCTTAGATCCATAGGCCAACATAAGAGCCATTTCCTCTATATAAATTATTATTATATATTATTATAGTCACTTTAACGCTCTTGGGTCATTCGTTACTTGTCCGGGGTTGAGATTTGAACTCGTGACTTTGGCGTGAGAGGTATGGATGCTAACCACTACGCCGGGGTCACCCCCATAAAGTATTTTAGTTTCCTAATTTCGGAAAAATAGCATTTTAGCGTGCAATGAACATTTGCAAGCTTTGCTTCAAATTAGTGCCTCTTCGATCTTGAGCGGTAAAACTTCGTTCCCAAAATTCCGAAAAACATTGTCAATGTTCCATGAAGGGGCTGAATTCTAGAATTCTATTAATTTTTTTGGATCACATTTTGTCTTCTGCCACCTCCTTAAGAAAAAAATTACCCAATTTTTCATACCCACATTCCCGTCTCTCCTTCACCACAGGGATTCACCTTTCCGCTGGAAGCCGGCTACCCGCTGGACTCGTACCAGGCCCGCTTCTACATGATGGAAACGCACTACATGGGCTTCCAGAGCAACTCGATCGACATGCGCCCCCGGATGGACAACTCCGGCCTGCGGCTGTACTACTCGACGACCCTGCGGAAGCACGACGCCGGTGTCCTGTCGGTTGGCATTCAACCCAACTGGCGCCACATCATCCCGCCGGGTCAGGAAAAGGTCGTTTCCGAGGGCCATTGCATCGAAGAGTGCACCCAGCGGGCGTTCCCTCGACCTGGGATCAACATATTCGCCGTCATGATGCAAACCAGCCATATGGGCAAGCAGGTCCGACTGAGGCAGATCCGGTACCGCGAGGAATTGCCCACGATCGCTCACGATTTGAACGTGGATGCAAATTATCAGGAATTCCGGAGACTGCACAGCCCAGTCAAAGCACTGCCAGGCGATCGCTTGATCGCTGAATGTTCCTATGATAGCACGTCGAGAAAAACGATCGCCCTCGGAGGATACACGTCTCGAGATGAAACTTGCTTGGTTCTCAGTTTGTACTATCCACGCCAGAAGGAGCTCACGTCCTGCCACTCAATCCCTAGTCTGCCAACGGTGCTGCACGCCGTCGGTATCAACGAGCTGGCCACCGGAGCGAACCCAATCCGGATAGCATCGCCTCCGGAAATCGCCGGCATGACCCTGGAGGAACGCCTCCTCTCCTACGATTGGAGAGTCAACTTCAACGCGTTCCAGTATGTGATACGAAAGGGTGCCTTCAAGCCGCTCTGCTGGAGCGCCCGGAACACTCCCATCCCGGTAAGTCGAAAAATGACACGGTTCAATGATCAAACACTGACCACCGAAAACTATTAACCCCTTTTCAAATGGAAAACTTTTGCAACTCTCCCCGAAAAACAGTCTAACCTAATTTCCCTTCCGTTCCGGTTGTTAAACTGATGAGAGAAAATTAATTTTCCCTGTTCGTCAGAAATCACAAAACCGATTCCAAACCGCTTCAAGGAGCTTGCGGAAAACTTTGCCTTTCAACTGCTTCTCATTTTCAGCATCCCTTCCCGGGCAAATCGCTAAGAGGATTATTTATTATACAATAGTTTGGCAAAGTACTTTATAAATCAATTTTATGCAAATATTGAGATTTCCTTTATCCTCCGGCAAAGAGGGGGAAACCACTTTCCCCAATAGTTTTCACTGCACTTGGGGGAAAAAAAACCCTTGTGTCCCTGTCTCCCCGGCACCGGAATTTATTACTTACCGCGATTTTTTTTCTTTCCTCCGATTTCGTTCCGCAGGGCACCGACAACATCGACGCCTATGCTCCGAACCTGACCCGTGTTTGGCGACCGACGCCCACGTGTGGCGTTTCGAGTTCGTCGTCTGGCAGCAGCGGTGGCTTCAACAGTGTCAACCGGTTCGCCACCGACCGGGATGCGTCCAACGGGCCCAGCTGGACCATGATGGAGGAGGACGACAACAACAATGTGATCGAGGGTGCGGCGCGGAGCAAGTCAATCCGCAGCTCAACGACGGCCGGAATGGCACAGTCCGGCACCACAACCGTGGTCTCCAAGGTGGCGCTCTTTGTGATCTTCATCAATACGGTCAGGTTAGCGGCGGTGCTGTGATGATGATGATGACGACAATGATGATGACGATGATGTGAAGGTGAAATGAGCGAGATGATGCGCTGTGATTGGTGATAGGTAGTAAAATAGCGTAAATAAGAAAGAGGAAACCTAAGGAAATATGTAGTCCAGGGACGCACCGGGAGAGGGCACCCCGAGGAGAGACCATAGAAAAACAAGACTGTGTATAGCGATAGCGAGAATGACCGAGATGAGGAAAGAAGGAACGGGAGAAAGAAATGAATATTTTTGTACAGGTTTTCTTTATTGTGAAGCGGTAGATTTTGTTCGGTTTTCTTGTCGAGAAAATCGCTAGTCATTTGAACAGATTCTGTTGAATAGTATTTAAAGCGAAACGACCAATCAATGGATGATGGCAGGGGGGCAGAAGCAGAAGGAATGGTCGGCGATTGACGCGATAACTGCCAGGGTTTCGAATTATTTAACTAGAAAAGAACCAAGTGGAACAGCTAGTATTAGGGGATAGAAGCGGTGTAGACAATTGTAATATCCATATTTGATACACTTGAGCCAGTTGTTAGACATGTATATTTTGTACATACGCGAGAAGGTGCCGATTGAGTGTATTATTTTTGTACATAAAGTAGGACTAATAAAAAATTTACGATGAATTGAAATACGAAACAAGTACTCAATCTAGTTGACAGAGATCCGAAAATAACCCTCATTGATGACATGTAACTAGTTGGAAATTGGCTTTTCTATTGAGTTGTCTGAATGGTAAGTCCGGTTGAAATTGGATTAGAATACAATGAATTGCTTATACAGAACGAAATTTGGTCTTGTAATTTTTAGCATTGCTGACTGTATTAAAATTGATTCTCAAAAAGAAAGCTTGCCATCGCACAGTGGGCAAAATCCTGCAAAAAAAAAAACTACAAGGAACAGCCCTATGGGGTTATACGCAATGGTGACTTAGGACTACGTGGTCTTATATAATAAATGTTATTTGTTAATTGCAGCAGGAGCTTGTGTTTTGTTTAGGAATAGGAATTTGCGTAGGCTTCTCTCCGTTTATACTCTAGTATGACTGGGATTGCCCTGACAAGAACCTTTTGATATGAATTTTAGTTGGGACATGTTCAGAATCTTGGTGGCCCTGAACAGGGCCGATGGAAGTACAGGTTTGAAATATGATGATGACGTGTAGGCAGCTGGATCAGCAAATCGGACCGGATAATCCCATATTCTTCGGTTCAATGATTGGTCATTCGCAAGAGTCTCGGCCCGTCTGCTGCTGGACAGGGGTTGAACTGGTGTCTGCGACAGGTTTGAAGACCGCAGCACATCAGTGTCCACCCAGCTAAAGCTCCTCTTCTTTTTGGTTGTTCTCGTTAAATTCCTTCTCCCAACAAGTTGGTAAATTTTAGCCTTTAGCAGAAAGACGCTTAACACTTTTTTGGCGAATTTATGATCCTGTTTCACGTCATGGTTCTTCTCTTTGCTTGTTCAGATAAGTTAATAATTTTATTTATTTACTCTACTGCACTAAATCAAACGAGTATATATAAGGGTTACGTGATCGAATAATTGAAAATTCTTTACGAATAATCGTTAATCGAATAATTGGACTTTTAGGCATCCCTAGAAAATAGTGTAATTTCATGTTTTTTGGTGGTCCTTCGAAAGTATCGAACAGCAGAATTGAAACCAGCAAGTGTAATCCAAGAACCAAAAGCCGTGCGATGCTAGTTTTCATTGCTATGACGACGACTGAATTAAGGGGCTTAGAAGCAGAGAGGGGAAGTAAATTCTCTTCATCGATTTCCTCTTTTGATGACCATGGCTTCACTAACCTATTTCGCACTATTTCTGCTATGCTCTTCTATCATCCAGAACAACAAACGTATCAATGAATGTGTTTGCCGTCGAGTTATTACCGAAACAGAAAGTCGATGAAGAAAATCGATCAAAATCACTGGGGTGCAAGTGTTTCCAAGTTTGGTTACAACATTACAACTCTGGAGAGCATTTTGTGTGGTTCTGAATATGGCGATGAGTGTGCAAAATATTACGCAATTGCATCATCCCTATTCCCACATGCCCGAAGATCAGAGGCGAATGCCACTTCAACTTGTTTCGTCTACTAATGACTCTCTGATGACAGTGCTGGGAAAGCAGCATATGCATGTACGTAATTTGTGGATTTGTTAGTTATTTCGACGATTTTGAACAATGCTTGAAATATACCACTTTTCAATAGTTTTTCGTTAATAAATCAAAAGTCGGAAGCGCTGTTATTGTTTAATGAAAAGAGAAGGATTAGTATTTTCCATTTAATTCCACTACTTTATTTGCTTATACTTGACAGATACGCGTATTTCGTCTACAATGCACAGACTTCTTCAGTGTCTTGTACTAATACTCGACTGTTATTGTTGTATAGAAACTTTTATGATCGATTGGTGATAAAATTATTGGAATTGGTCCAGGGGCAGCTGAGTTATTATCGTGCAAAATCTTTCATTATTTCGTTACATGCTCCATTTTCGGTTTTCCTACTTAAAAAGCAATTTATTTTTGTAGCTGTCTGAGATCCTTAAAAACTAGATATTCTTAAGTAATAAATCATGGCAAATCTATTGGAAATCTGAGAAAATCCTCGTATAATGTACCGTACTTCAAATCTGTGTGGGTAATTTAAAACATTTCATGGATGAAACATATTTGTGAAACATATTTGCACGTTAAAAAATGGAACACTGCAGATAATGGTCTATTTTACCCGAATTACTCCTGTACTGTTTGAATATTACACTCCACCTGTCTGGATCGAAAACATTAGGAAACTAGCTCGTCTTGCTCAAAATCTCTGAAAAAGTCTACTTTGCCCAAATTCCCTCTTCATAAAGACGACCAACCAACCAACCAATCAACCTCTTATACAGCATTAACAAGTAACTCCACACCTACCTGGTGGGCCTCGGGTTGCCCTCAGGTGGGTCTCAGAAATTGAGTCAACTTGTCCTTATGTGTGGATTAAATGAGAACGTCTCTGTTGTAATTGTTGATTAGACTATTGATCGCGTTCGGGCGATTAAATATCTTGGTGTGATTATTGATGACACACTTAAGTTCAACTCTCACATTGACAATGTCATCAAGAAAATTGCCAAAAAGTATGGAAATCTATGTTGACTGAAAAACGATTTAACTATTGCCAGTAAAATACAGGTATGCAAATCAATCATCTCTCCTCATCTTGACTTTTGTCCTTCCATTTTATTTTTGGCCAATGCAAAACAAATATCGAGAATACAGCGCTTGCAGAATAAAATTATGCGTTTGATTTTGAGATGTAATAGATCCACTTCCTCAACTTTGATGCTAGACGCCTTACAATGGTTGTCGGTGAAGCAAAGAATTGTATATTTGACTATGGTGTTCATTTTTAAAGTAGTTAACGGTTTGTTACCTCGATATTTGTGTGATCGAATTGAAAGAGGAAGTGACTTTCATAGATATAATACTAGAAACGCGGTTGAAATAAGAACACCACATTTCTTGACTTGTGCTTCACAAAATTCAATAATTTTTAAAGGAATAAATGTTTTAAATTCGATGCCAAACACTTACAGAACGGTTGCTGCTGCCGCTGGTTCTCGTTCAATTTTTGTTTTTTTCCTTCGCCCGGCAAGCTATTTGGTACAATTTTAGTAAGCTACGGCATTGTAAATTTCTGCTTTCGTTCGTGTTTACTTGTGTCTCTGTAGTGTTGCATGTAAAGTTTATGTGTATAGGTGATATATGGCTGAGTGTGCAATATGTAATTTGGGGATTTTGGTAAGTAATTTGCCAGTTATCTGTGTGGGTAAGTGTGCTCGTGTATTTCATTCCAAATGCACTACACTTACGCGGACTCAGGCAAAGTTTATCACAGACAATGCAAATGTTCTGTTCAAGTGTGATAATTGTCTATCAGATCAGAGTTGCGATGCGAAGTTTGCGGATGTTGTAAAAAGACATAGTCGTGCAAGTAAAAGTAAAAATATTAGTAACAGTAACAGTAACATTGACAGTAACAAACAGAGTAATCGCAAGACTCGTCCGGTCATTGTGATCAAACCAAAAGAGTCCAAACAAGCCTGCGAAGATACTCGTAAGTTTTTGAAAACACAGTTTGATCCAAAAACACACAAAATCAGTAATTTCAGGAATGGTAAAGATGGCTCCATTATTGTTGAGTGTGCAACAGGAGCTTATCTAAATTATGTAAAAACTGGTATTGAAAGCAATCTGGGTGAAAAATATAGTGCTGTTGTTCCCACTTCGGTGCCAAGATTGAAAATAGTGGGCATGAGCGATCAGTATTCCTCCGATGTCTTCATTGACTATTTAAAAAGTCAAAATGAAGACATCGCTATAAATGATGTTTAAATGATAAAAGTATTGAACATGTTTGAAAATCCATGCACTTACAACAAGTTTAGTGTTATAATTGAAGTCGATTTCGATACGTATAAATGTTTGTTATATGCGAAAAAAGTAAATGCAGGGTTTGATCGGTGCTCGATAGTTCCCGCGATTAATGTGTTGAGATGCTTCAAATGTGGAGAATTTGGGCACAAGAGCATGGATTGCAAAAATTGTGATAGATGCTCTAGGTGCAGCCAACAACACAAAACGTCGGAGTGTACGTACAGTGAAATGTGAGTGAAAATGAAATGAAATGAGTGAAATGTATAAATTGTTTGAAAATGAATAAAGAACGAAAAATGAACTTGGACGTCAACCATGCCGCATTTAGCTCGGAATGTTTGCTCTATAAAAGACTTTTTGATCAGAAGAGAAGCAACTTGCGTTTCAATAAATAGCAGCCAAGTTCCAGGAATGTGAATCAATTCAATTTTTTATACTTGAATATTGCGGGCTTGTCAACAAACTACGTAGCATTACGTGAGATTGTTGAGGAAAAACGTCCTCTTTTAGTTTTATTAGCTGAAACTCATATTGTAGAAACTGTAGCTTTTGATCAAAATAGTATTCCGGGATATAGTGTTGCTGCTTGTTTATCACATTCTAGACACACTGGTGGTGTTGCTATTTATATCAAAGAATCAGTTCAGTTCAGTTCGTACCAACGAAGTTATTGATGGCAACTGGTTCTTGGGCATTACAGTTGTACGTGGCATGAAGATGGGTAATTATGGTGTTTGTATCATTCTCATAACTGGCTCGAGATATTCCTTGATTCTAGTAAATTAAATATATTGGCTGGCGATTTTAATATTAATTGGCGTGATAACCATAATTCGTATCAATTGAAGCGTTTAGCTGAGTTTTTTTTAATTTAAAGCAAACGGTTAATGAATATACACTGGAGTCGCTTTTTACGCGGGTGATACGTCCCGCGTAAAAAAAACCGCGTAAATTCCGGAATCCGCGTAAAAAAAACCGCGTAAATTCCGAAATCCGCGTAAAAAAAACCGCGTAAAAAAAGACCGTGTAAGAAAAAACCGCGTAAAAAGCGACTCCAGTGTACGCGTATTTCCAGGCACAGTAGAACTTTAACCACGTTTATTACAATTTTGATTCCATTTGTTCAGTTACGGATACTGATTTGAAAATAACCGATCATGAGACTTTAGTGATTAATGTCTTAGACCATGTT